TATAAGTGTGGCATCCGCAGTGAATGTTTTACCCACTCTCGACAACTCCTTGCACAATCACTGGCCAACTCTTCTGAGTTTAGCCTCCTTTGTGCGGAAGTCCTCAAATATCGTCTCGAAAAGAAACAAGATTGCTGTACTGCCCTCAGACAGTTAACCACATGGAATGTATCAGGTTGGAGAACGTTACAATGGACTAACCCTAAGACGCAAGCCATTCTCCGCCGGGCTCGGCACGGCATTGTCTGCCTCCAAGAAACCAGATGGACTGCGAGTACTGCTACCAACTTTCTCCAAACCTATCCAGGCTTTAATATTGCGCACTCCCCATCGATCGCAACAGAAAACGGAGGCCTGTCGGGAGGAGTCGCCATATTGATTCCATGCTCCTTTAGACTACTACAAGAAATTGTTATCACGCCTGGCAAACTCATTGCTGCACAAGTCCAGACCAGAACCGATTGCTTTTGGGTGATTTCGGCATATTGTCATCCTAGCAGCGCTAAAGAAGACTGTGAAACGCTTGCCAGATGGCTATCTGATCATCAGGACCATCCTGACCCCTTTTTCATCGTCGGAGACTTTAATCATGGTCATCACCTCTCCCTTGATGCCTGGCACTGTATTTTAAGTTGTGCTCAAGGAGACGATATTGTCAAGGATGAACCGACCTTCTGGGGCCCAAATGGCTCGTCAGCAATCGACAAAGTCATTCTTCCGACCGAATATGTGAATCGTGGGCTAATCCAACATCAGGTGTTCTATGATCGTCTTTTTGAGTCTGCTGGGCATGCATGCATATCCATCCAATTGCGCCATAGGCCGCCAGTTTCGAGTAGCTCAGACCTACCCCTACATATGACCATACCAGCCAGTGTTTTTCAACCGGGTAAGGACCGACATGATACCCGACAAGTGTGGCCGTCACTCCAATCGCTGGTTCGCCGACTTTGCTTAGTCTCCCAGCCCACATTTGAATCCCTTCAGGCAGTATTATGGCAATGGTGGATGTCACTCCCCAAGCGGCCCCGGGACTTCAATACTCTAAGGAAGCATCTCCAATCCGATCGACCACTTCTAAACATCTCTAAACGGTTGCTACGAGAGCTTCTTTCGGCCCTTCCAGGCTTCCGCCCTGCCCTTGAAGAATATTGCCAAACATCCACGGTAATCACGGTCCCTCGTACCTTCCTTTGGAAGTGTTTCGAGCTCCTTGACCTGCAGCTACAACAACAGCACCTTATCACTAGGAATAGAGATGAAACTACCCGCAGTCGTGGCCTGGGCACTAATGCCCCTCTGTGGCAGAGATTACGAGCTAGCTGCCCGCGAACTGTCTTTTATAATGGTCCTATTCTGGACGGTGCGGGCAAGCAGTGCCAGACTGACCTGGACTTGTCGGCAGCCATGCTGGCCACTCGCAAGTTCTGGTTCCAACCGCCTGTTAAATATGATCCTGAGTGGACAGATTACCTGGAGCAGTATAAAGCACAAGCCCAGCCCTGGCCACATGTTCCCCCACCAGGCGCGGAAGACCTCATCAGAACTGTCCTTGCCACCAATGATTCTTCCCCAGGTCCAGACGGAATACCCTATGCAGCATGGCGACTCCACCCTGGAGTGTCATCAGATGCGATGATCACGCATCTCAATGATATCTGTAGCTCCGCAGTCCCTCCCCCTTGCTCAGTCCAAGCATGGATCCCGAAAGCCAAAATGGGCCCCACTGCTGACAATTTCCGTCCATTGGGTATGCCATCGACATTTGAGAGAGTCATAGACGGAAGCATCGCGACAGTCATGACCAGAGCCATTGCTCCGCTCCTTCACCCCTCTCAAACTGTGTTAAATGTCTTCCGCGAACCGCAAAGTGCTGTCCAATCCGTTCAAGCTGTTCTAGACCAAGATGCACCATGCGCATGTCTGTCATTGGACCTTTCCAAAGCTTTCGAGCGGATTAACCCCCACTGGATCTTGCAAATTTTATCAGCGTGTAAAGCCCCCTGGTGGATCATCATGCACACCCGGCACATCCTCCTTTTTCGGAGATGCAGGCACAAAGTCCAAGGCAAGTTGTTACCCTCAAAAATGATTGTCACAGGCGTTGACATGGGTCGATCTTTTTCAGTCCTGCTTTTTTGCGTTGCCATGGATCCAGTTTTGACCTACCTTAACAGAATCCCTGGCATGCTGACAGTCCAAGGATATGTTGATGACACCACAATGGTGGGAGATACGGCAGCAGGCATGCAATGGCTCTCGGATGCCTGGCAAGCCTGCGTACGTTTGAAATCCGCTGGCATCCAAATAGACGAACACCACTGCTGGCGAACTAGTGGGATCAATATGCATGCAGCTAGCTCTGGTCAGATCGACCAATACCCTCCATTAAACTGGACACAAAGTTTACCAGGACATGCTACATTGCGGCAAGCCTTGGTTCACAGAGCAGGTTATAGCACCACCACCATAGTGTGCCGAGCAAATTTGTTCGTGTGTCTTACCCCAGCAGAGGTTGATTTAATATTAACCGGAGGACATCTAGCTAAAATCGACCCACTCTTCCTGGCACAGTGTAGTTGTTCCAACAAGTGCAGTGTACTGGTTAATCACCCTGCCTCCCATAGTACTCTGAATGCGCTTGAACGTTCCGACTGGGGAGCCCACCTCATTGAGGGAAAAACTACAGCGCTGGGTCTGCTCCTGTATGGTAAGTATACCCGTAGTCATCAAGGGTGGACCTCAGTAGAGGAACTTATAGGCACACGCGCCATTAATCCCAAAGCCATGTCCAAAGCTAACCATCGGCTTGCCCTCTTCGCCACACCTGCTCACTCTGTAGTGCAAAGAAGCCTTGCCAATAACTGTTTTATTCTGTCCCTTAATATTTACCAAAGTACATACTTTGGTTTCACTCCAGACGACATCAATTTATACCAACAACGCTCTGCGAAACTTATTCTTGGCAGACCATGGCTGGCCGCACGGTACCTCCCACACATATTTCGGTGGTTAGGTATTGCTCCTGCACTGGACCCAGCGGTCACACTCACCGCAGCGTGCTTGGGTTATTGGCTTCGACAGAATGGCTCTACTGCCTTTCTCTCACCGGGGTACCCGGATGTAGGGACAAGGCAAGGAGCGGTTGTCCAACGCATTTTCCGCACATGGATTCCCCTGCTCGGAATTGACACAGTCGGCAACTTGTTACGCATACTTGCAGGACACAACACCAGGAAACAACACTCCCAATTCCTCCGCCAGCTGAAACTCAGACTTTACGAAGCCATCCAAATGCATGCACTGCAATATCTACAGTCTAAAGTTAGCTTGCAGCTTCTACCAGGCGGGGTATCGTGGGCTTGGTTGACCCATTTAGCCACAGTGCCTAAACTTGCTGTTAATGGAGTTGCACGCTTTGCTGTCTTGCGGTGGGCGGTGAATGAAGATGATGATGAATGCCTGCGGCTTCGACTGGCAGGCTCACTGCCTACGCTACACTAAGTAATGGTAAGATGAAAGGGGGGACCGGTAAAGTTGGAAACTTACGCGGTACCAACGCGAAGCGCCAACAAACAACGCGCCGTGAAATGAAACACCAACGACCAACTGCAGACATCCCGAACTGTAATTGCAATTGACATGAACTGACATCCAAGTGAATCAAAATGAAAACTGCAGACAACTGATCACATATGACAAGGTTGACTCAACCTCTCTCAAACGGCTCTCTCACCTTTTTGCAGCCAGTGGTGATGTCTCACGCACATCCCTCTAAGAGGTGGAGACTCGAACCAGTGGAGCCCATTGAAATGTCGTGCACACAGCACGTTGTATCCAACGCCCAAGTCAAAACTGTTCCGTTGTAAAGCATCCAGAAAACTTTCATCGCAATCCAGTCCAAAGAAAAATATTGTGAGTCCATTGAACTCCTGAAGCTCCCCCAAAATATGCTCCCCCTGCCAGGGTTGTGCGCAAGAAACGGCCACAACCCACCCTGTCCAAATAAAGGGTTGGGTCGGGCGGGACCTCAACTGAACAGGAGCCAAATCTCCAAAGAAAAATAGATGATTGTTGTAAGCATCCAATCCAATCATCTCAGTGATATTGCGTTCGAACAGGTGAGCACCAGTAAATGATCAACCTAACCTGCCTTGACAGAAGCGCAAGTTGACAAGCATCCAACTGAAAATAATGCCAGCAAATCGACTGAAGAAAATTGCACAGCGTAACTCAAAACATCAACTGACAAGAAGTTCCACATGTCATGACAAGAAATCCAAAACTGCAAGCGAAGCAAATGTTCCAGTGAAGCATCCATAAAACAGCGACTGAAAGAAACGTTCGGAAAATAACTTGTTGAGCAAAAGCCTGAAACTGCCATTGTTGGTACCATTGAAAGACAGCGTATAAAATCCAGAGATCCTTGCCAGAGCAATCCCCACCCTCCCACCCGACCATTACATAGTTTCACATAGACACACTGGACAAGTCCAGTGATGCCTACGCTACACTAAGTAATGGTAAGATGAAAGGGGGGACCAGTAAAGTTGGAAACTTACGCGGTACCAACGCGAAGCGCCAACAAACAACGCGCCGTGAAATGAAACACCAACGACCAACTGCAGACATCCCGAACTGTAATTGCAATTGACATGAACTGACATCCAAGTGAATCAAAATGAAAACTGCAGACAACTGATCACATATGACAAGGTTGACTCAACCTCTCTCAAACGGCTCTCTCACCTTTTTGCAGCCAGTGGTGATGTCTCACGCACATCCCTCTAAGAGGTGGAGACTCGAACCAGTGGAGCCCATTGAAATGTCGTGCACACAGCACGTTGTATCCAACGCCCAAGTCAAAACTGTTCCGTTGTAAAGCATCCAGAAAACTTTCATCGCAATCCAGTCCAAAGAAAAATATTGTGAGTCCATTGAACTCCTGAAGCTCCCCCCATCTTTAGAGGAGTGAGATGGGCCGTGATCGTACCTGACCGTTACCAAGGGGTCTTGTCAAACTTCTTCGGCCTGACTTTCGGGGCACGCACGGCCAACTCTTTGGCCTTAGCCTTTTCGAGAACAAAGGACTCCCTTGTTTGAACCAAATCATCCAACACTCCAAATTGCAAATCGTCCCAGCACGCAACAATCCTGAGACTTTCATCAAAACCTGTGAAATCCTCATTTGTTAATTGGTCTGCTTCAACATTCTCCTCTCTAGGCCTCCACCTCAATCCCAAACTCAACCTCGATCGCGACAAAGAGGATGATAGCTGCATATTGATGCCCATCAATGGCCACTTCGTAGTGGAACGCTTCTCTGTGAGCGACTCATTTGCGCGGTTGTCAGTCCCCCCAAAAAGGGAGACCTCAATATCCCTTCTCTCTCTCTGTTCTTCCAACCAACCAAACAAATGAAGGGCTGTAAGGGATGCTAATAACTCTGCTGACGTCGATGCCCATTGTGATCCACTGCCGGGTTTGAAAAGGTAAGGAACTTCCTTAGGACCCAGCCTCAAGGCGAACCATCTCCTCGTCTTCAGCTCCCAACCTGCCAACACCACAAATGTATCAGTGCACTTTGCATCAGTCCTGAACTGATCTTCAAGGAACCGCACTGGCCTCTTGGCGGACACTAAAAAGGTTTCTCTCAAGAACTCATTGTGGAGATAGTGCAACGTGATGATCACTGTCTCTGGCAAACGACACACTGTTCCAGCCGCTGTCACAGCCGCCCATGAAAACAACGGGGCTAGGTGAGGTTTCACCCATGTCAACAACTGGGCGATGAACCCAAGCCTCCCCAAGAACTCTGAAAAGTCACGGGCCTGCACCACATAGTTGTTCTGTCGTGCTTTGACCACCCATTGCACGATCCAGTCACCGCGCTTCGGGGATATTCCCACTTCTGTCAAATCATACCTGATCTGAAAGCCAACAAACTCTGAAGAGAACCCCCCTTTGAATTTGTGATACCCAAACGGGACTCCCGTCATCTCAAAAGCCAGCAACCAGGTCCATAGCCAGAGGAACTTCCTCTCTCCAGTGAATACCCCATGGAGGTCGTCAACGTAAATCATGTGCATGAACCACCGTTGATGAAATAAGAAACCAACAAACCTCCCAATTAACCCTGCCAGTTTGAACCACCAATAAGGTGCACTTGAAATTCCAAAGGTTCCAGTCCTGTTGACCCAAATTGTCTCTGAATGGGAGTCCGCTTTGCAGCACATGTATCCCCAGTCAGAATTTCTCACCTTGACCAGCCTGTGAGCCGCTCGGATATCTGCACTTACGCAAAATGGTGCTTCTTGAGTTTCTGCAGTTTCCCTCAACACTGAAGCGATCTCTGCAGGGCCAGGGCAGTCGATCTTGTCACGGTACTTGATGGCATGGTTGACCATCACAGAATGCGTTGCGTCGTGAAGGGGACGAACTGTCCCGTCAGGTTTCTGTATGGCCGCCATTGCTGCTACTCTGACCTTGTCTCCATACTGTTGTCGCAACACCCCCAGCTTGGAAGGATGCATCCTCCCCAATGCCTCCTCCTCATGAAATTTCTCTTCAAGCTCCTTTGAGGAGATCTGGGCAGAAGGATAGTTTTGAGCAATGGCAGCAAACTCTGTATCATCAAGGCGCCGATGCTTCAACTTAGGCCGGCAAACCTGCGGTGATCTCGGCAACGGCTTTTCCACCCCCAAGCAAACGCCTGTTGAGAAAGAGTCCTCCTCATCCACCAACCACTTGCCATCAGGGTCATCAAAAACTCTAAGCCACTGTGAAAGAGCCCTAAGGAAAAATGGCTGTCCATCATCCCTGATTGCAGCATCTAATGGGTCTGCCAGTAGAGAAAACCACTTTGACCGCACTCCAGCCAAAAGTTCATCAGAAAAAGGTGACCCATCCAACTTCCCCGTAACCAGCCTAAATGCTTCCTTGCGCACGTCAGGAATTGCTGCTGTCACTGCTTCCTCCAGGATGGAAAATGTTCTGTCTGCCAGCTGTTTCATCACATCAGACCTGTGGACACCTCTCTGAGACGGCTTCCAACGCGTTGGGCTGCATAAGCCAAAACCATCAGTGAACTCCTTCTGAGTCCTGTCCCACTCAACTGAAATGGGTCTGCCCGCATTTCCACATGCAGCCATGTCAAATTGAACCTCGTCTGCATTGTCCGTCACCCCATCGTCCACCTGTTGATCAATTGTGCCCCCAGTGTTATTGTCAGTTGTTGTATGCTCCTCTTCAGAGTCCAAATCAATGACACTCCCCCAAAAACTGTTGTCGCCAGATCCAACCCCAGGGACTCCCTGTGTCGTAGAGCTGTTGGTCCCCTTGTGGCATCTGTCATCCTTTGCAAATGATTGTAAACCAGAATCAGGGACTCCCTGGATTGCAGAAGAATTGGGCCTCTTGGCGGGTGGTTGTGAAGTACCTGCAGAATTGTCTGTTGCAGAATTGTCTGTTGCCCTCTTTTTGGATTTGTCCGCTACGCCCCCACCGCAGGATGCGAGAGCATGAAGGATCAAATCAGCAATAAATTGACAAAGCCTTGCTGGATATGCCGCACTTGGACTTGTGTTCCACTGTGACGCAGTCCTACCAATCAGCTTGTGGGTGTGCACATGGCCGCATTGTTTTGGGAGCGGTCCCTTGTAATATCCAAACTTGTCAAACTTTGGCAAGGCAATAAAACATCTGTCATCCCGAACCTCCATGTTGGTCATGAAACGTGTAGGTTTGGGGGTCGGCGCACCAAATTTGCACTGATGAACTGCAAATGAAGTTGCATCGCATGCTGGGATAAGTTCCAGCACCTCAGGCCACTGCCATATCGACCCAGGCTGTTCACCTTCGACAGTGCCAAGGTCCTCAGGATGTTCCAAAATGAAGTGTCCTTTCGCCTCAGCAGCAATGTGACATGCCTTAATGCATCTGTCAACAAAAGTGTTGGCCTCGTCGACCTTTGATCTGTTTGCAGCACTCAGCCAAGGAAAACCACGTGGCCAAGTCCGTGTCCTAAGAGGTTTCGGACCCGGATGCTGCCTGAACTGAAATCGCGCCCTGCTGAAAGTGTTGCACGGCGGTGACACTATCAAGGTGACATTTCCCTCCTTGAGGAGGTTGTAAATCTGATCCCACAGCGAGGAATCAGTCAGGTCATGTTGTGGGGACCTTTCAATGTCAAATTCATGCAACTCAAGCCGGACCCGTCCTGATCTTTCAGCCTTCTTCAAGAATGCCGCAATATCAGAATGGCGACGCTTCCCAGCAAACAAATAAACCACCCTCAAAAGAGGTGGTTGATCCGTTTTGTCAACATGTGCAGCCTTGCTGGGGGCGGCTGCACAGACATCCTGTCAAGCTGCAGACTGTGACTTGGTATGATCCACCGCCTTGTGGTTCCCGTAGCATCCTTTGACCCTGCATTGGTGGACCCTGCCGCAGGATCCATCACACTCTGAACTGTTCCATGCAAAACATAACTCACGTCCATCTGGGGTCCTCCATGCCAGACCCAAACCCTTCAACCGGGAATCCATGGTCTTCCCTTTTGATTTTCCCTTCGAAGACTTGCCTTTGCCTTTTGTAAAACCTGTAGACTGTTTTCCACTGAAACCACCCTTGCTGTTGTAACGTGGCCACTTGTGAGGTTGGTTCTGAGTCTCTGACAAAGCTGCTTTGAGGGCCACCGGAGTCGTGAAGTAGGCTTCTTTCAGATCAGGGTCACGAATCACTGCAAGCAACGACTCAGCCAAAGTGTATCCCTCCAGAACTCTTTTCATGGCCTCCTTCCTAAGTTTGTGCTCGTAAGCAAGGACCACTGTCCAGTCAGGTTTCACCTTCTGTTGCAACGTCTCTGATGAGGCCGATGGTATCTGTATTCCAAATACACGATCCCCCAAAATGTATTCAGTGAACTTCAAAAATGGTTCGGCAGTCAATCCATGTAACCAGTGTTTTGCCCGATACCTTGAAGCCATGCATAACCAAGAATACATTTCAATTTTCATTGTCCTCCGGTACTCCTCCGTTGTCGAAGGCATCTTACCCTTGGTCTTCGTCCTGGTAACCCTGATGTGCCCGGAGGAGTCAACTGCTGACTGAATCTGTGCATTCGTGGAAGAGTGCTTTGAAAGGATCTCATCTAAGGGTGCAGCTGTCGGCTCATTGCACTCCGTCTCCTCCGCCTTGATCGAGAGGTAGTCGGTGGATGGGCATTCCTGATCCCCAAGCGTTCCATGAATCGCCTCAACAGCTCTCAGCATCGCCTGTCTCTCATGAATCTGAAGCACTCGGGGTTGCCCCAACACCTTTGCCTCTGCCTTCAACTCGACCTCTTTAGAGAGATACTCTTTAGAAGTTTCCCATGCAGCTACTATCGATGCAACCTGTGAACGCCGCTCTGGTGTGTCCTGTGGAATTGCAAAGTCCTGCACACATGCAGTCCTGATAGCAGCTCGGTCATCTCCAAGGGCACTGAACTTCCTAAGGTTTCCATAGTGGCGCGCAATTGCAACCTGGTGTTCAAGACTCACTCCAGCTTCACCAAGAATAAACTGCAAGTCTGAATCCATGTGTGTTTGCACATACTGTCTCTGTGCAACTGGGTCCATTGCACCGCACGCCGCAGAGGCCAGTTGGCCCGATCAAAGTTGAAATGGAAACCGAAAACACAAATCATGTCAAACACAGAAACCCGACGCCTCAAAAATGGCAATGGGATGTTCAAAAACAAACCCTAGCCGCAAACCTGGCATTGGGAACAAATGGATGAATGCAAAAACTCTTCAAGTCAACTTCAACATCTGAATGTGAAGTATTGCGGAATGCCGTCAACCCTCCACAGATGGTACCCTGAGGTCTGAACCATCAAAAGATTCGGTGACATGTCACAACAATGCCCCAATCGTTCAAGTTGCGTCCAAACGCAAATCCCATGTCTGTGAAATGACGGCATCTTGAAAAACTGTACACCTATCACCTCAAGCCTCACATGATTGAGTCTGCACTCAGAAGTTGAAATGAAAACCGACCTCGACACCTAAGAAGCCTGAACAAAAGGAACCCAAAAGACAGAACAACAAAACGACCGACAGAAAACTCCCGGTGTCTCAACACCGACTTTTGCAACTGTCCGAACAGCGGCAATCACGCTGGTCCCTCTAATGGGTCCCCTTCGCCTGCATCACTGCCTGATGCAGTGGACGTCGAAGAAGCTGTCAAGAAAAGATTGATCCCCTTCCTCCTTCCCACATTCTGTCAACATTCTTTTCTTACATCCCTGACACACCGTGTCGAAATCATCACTGTTGACCTGATCTAAGTGGACCACTTCGAAACACCTGTCAGGCTTCACAAAGCAACCACTGAGGTGCAAGCGCCTCAGGCATGTCCTCCTGGAAATGGTCACAAAGTACTTGGAGGCCCCATCACTGCTGAGGGCCTCCTTCCGTGCCAAAGTGGCAACTTTGTCAGCCAGGTCGATGTCACCAACGACATCCCCATCCAGTTCTGGCCAGTCTCCATCGACCACTTCCAATGTTGGGAAGACTCCACCAAGCGAGTGCGCTCCGGACCAGTCTCCCAAAACGGTGTGGCGCTTCCGAACCCGGTTGGGATTTGCACCTGTTGCTTTGGCTGCGTCACAAAGCCGCTGGATGGCCTCATCCTCAAAGTAAGGCCCATTGGTGCCCTCAACCAGGCAGCGATTGACAGCCTTCTGAATCTTGAATACCACCTGTCTGGATGTTCTCACATATTCTTCCGATGCCACCATGCCCATGGACCAACGGCCAAGATAAGCCCTCTCGTCTCGAGAGAACCCTGCCACCGCCGCCACCGACGTCACAAAGTTGCGAGCACTGTGACCTGAAAAGAAACTCTCCAGTCCATCAGGCAGCAATAGGACATGTTGCATCAGCTCCCATCCAAGACCAGATCGTCTCGGGCAACCCAATGTGCTCAAAAGCTTTCCAATCAATGAACTGAGCCCTGCAGGCGTAACAAATTTCCGCCTCACCTTTGACCAATCTTTGCAAGGCTCCATCACCATGTAGTCCCGATGGAACTTGAATTCCTCAGCCTCCCAAATTGTGAACCCTGCTCTCAGCCAGTCCGCTCCAGACAAAGATATCGTCCTGAAGACATGGACGGCCACCTCTTTCTGGACCTTGTCGGGCCCCGTGGTCTTTGACTTCCCCAAGATCAGCTTCAAACCATAGTTCGAAAGGAAGGATCGGCGAGGGATGATTGCCTGCACATCATCGCATCTCATCGCCCCCCAAATCATGATCAAAACGATCCAAGCCAGGGCCTTTGCAAAAATGGGAATTGCCTCGCTCTGCTCGACAACTGTCAACTCCAATGCTAAGATCATTGCAACCGTGAACATCTCTGCCGGCTTTCGTGGTGCAGCGTCCTCACAAAGTTCTGCTGTCCACGACTTCACATGCCCCTTCCACAAGGGGTCATCTGAGATCCTCATCACATCTGGGACCCTACCCAACTGCTCCAACATCGCCAACGTGATGCTGAGCGACTCTGGGATGGTCCGCCCACATCCTTCATCAACTCGATGTTGAACATAGTCGATAACATCTTTGACCGACTTCGGGAACAAGTAGCCCCGATGAAGTTCAAGCCACCGCTCAAAAGGCTTCCAAATTTTATACCTTGCTTTCAAAGTGTTGGCACGGCGCGCAGCAAAGATGTGCACCCAAGCTGCACCAGGATCATCCAATGTGGTGATGAGCCCCACCACAGGAAGCTCTGCATTGATCATCACCTGAGCCAGAAGGAGAGAGTACTTCCGTCTCTCGGTCTCGAATCTCTTAGACCTCACATCAGGTGGATCCTCACGATACTTCCGCTGCTTGCGCTTCGAATGCATCTCTAAAATGCACTGCACACTTGTCTTTGTCAATCTCTGAAACTCATCATGCAAATTGAGAACATTGGGCTGAGGCAAAACGAAAAGAGCAGATGAAACTAGTCCTCTCCTGAAACGCTTGAGTGGCCGACTTGATTCAACTTTCCAAGTCATCAACGCAGCAACAGAGTCATGCAATTCCTCATCAACCATAAGTGGAAATTCAGATCTGAGGAGATCACTGCAGTCCTGGTCATCATCAAAGGCAGCTTCCAACCGCCACGGCTGTGCAAAGACTCGCTGCAAGAAAGCCAGAACGCCTGGCTCCACCTGTGGCCACTCCAGTTCCATCTGCGCCCCCTGAAACTACGTCCAATTCATGAATTGGATTGCGAAAGCGCCCCAACCTACCTCAACTGAACAGGAGCCAAATCTCCAAAGAAAAATAGATGATTGTTGTAAGCATCCAATCCAATCATCTCAGTGATATTGCGTTCGAACAGGTGAGCACCAGTAAATGATCAACCTAACCTGCCTTGACAGAAGCGCAAGTTGACAAGCATCCAACTGAAAATAATGCCAGCAAATCGACTGAAGAAAATTGCACAGCGTAACTCAAAACATCAACTGACAAGAAGTTCCACATGTCATGACAAGAAATCCAAAACTGCAAGCGAAGCAAATGTTCCAGTGAAGCATCCATAAAACAGCGACTGAAAGAAACGTTCGGAAAATAACTTGTTGAGCAAAAGCCTGAAACTGCCATTGTTGGTACCATTGAAAGACAGCGTATAAAATCCAGAGATCCTTGTCAGAGCAATCCCCACCCTCCCACCCGACCATTACATAGTTTCACATAATAGACACATTGGACAAGTCCAGTGATGCAGGCTGAGCAGCCATGCCAACTCTGTGGAATTCCTACCCGGCTATACCCACTTGGACTCAATTTTGCACCAGCTTGTGAAAAATGCTGCCATGACCATGATATTAACGCTACCACTCTGTACAGCGGTGAGAGATGGGGGATCCCGACCGCATCCCCATGGCATGCCATTGCAGAATCTGCTCGAGGATCTTTTCATATTCCTGCCTCATGGCGTGACCGTGCACGAGATCTAGCCCCCTGTGTAGCGTGCGGACATGGAGACAATTCCTCTCAACACTGGGCTCGTTTCTGCATAGTGCCTGTACTAGTTGCCAACGTTTTGTCACCTGCCCCCAATCCAGTGAAATCGTTGGACCAACTCGCCCGAGTCAACACAGCTGGATGCGTGATCGCGAGCCACATTCTGCATCAGTTCCGCCGACTCTTGCTTGAGCATGGAGGCATGCAACATGCGCCATCTTCAGTCCCCCTAAGTGTCCCTGAATGGCTAACCCGCCTACATGACAATGCTCTACAGGCAATCCCCACTCGATTCCTCCCGGAGCTTGTCTCTCCCGTCAGACCCCAGAATGCAGGCGCAGACTACCCAAACCATCCTTGCTACATGCAAACCGCCGCCAACGAAGCAGTTACTCTCCACTCCGCAGCACTTCCTGATCTAGTTTGCACAGCTACTCAACTCATTGCCCCGGATCAGCCTATTGCTGTGCTCCCCTTTGGACATCCATGGCTTAGCCTCATTGCCCCAGCTCGAGCCCGGGTCGCTGGATTCCGCCCTAATGCTAAAATTGTACCAGCCTGCCCTGACTCGCCTGATTCCTTCTGTACTGTGACAGCTCTTCAATCCATCAGTCCTGATGAGTTGATTTTAGCAATCCCTCCTGGTGATACACCATCCGAACCCTCGATACAGATCGTAGGCCAATTTGATGGCAGCTGTATGCACGAAGATGAATTAGGAGGAGCTGGCTATGTCATCTATGTTATAGAAGGTGGTCGGTCTCGCGTTATTGCATGTCGGTCAGTCGCTTTGCCACATTGTTCAGATAATATAGAAGCAGAAATCATGGCCTGTTTGTATCTGGTTGAAGAAGTTGCTATTGTCGTTAAGCAACGTTTATCGAGCCGCGGCCTCACGCCCAAGGTAGTCTTAAGGGGACATTCTTCCGGTTATTAAGTACTTTCAATTTGCAGGCCGTCTCCGGAGGATAGATATGCACCAACCATTGGAAAGCATTCGTTCAACCGTAAGTCTGCATCTCCCGAGTAGTTTATTCATATACCTGCCGAGAGTGGCCAACAGCATAGCAGATGACTTGGCTGGACAAGCCACCCAGTTCCTGTTGGCTAAATATAGGAGCAACCCTGCTACCTTCAATCGGAATGCTGGACCGGTGTCCTTTAAACCATCATTCCCAACGGCCCTCTTCCAGGTCGGAGGCTTCCACATTCAGAGTTTTGATCACCCCTGGAGCCAGCCCATACTTACTCTAGTAGAGAGGCCCAGTATCGATCACGGTCTTCTCCGAAAACACGTGACCCTCCCCCCCCATCACCGCCAGCTGATTGAATCCTATCTCTCCCCGTGTTTACCGCAAAACTGCAGTATTGAAATTGACTACTCCCCCAAAGCTGCTGACAACCACGGACGAAAATATTGTTGCACCATAGGAGGCCAGCGACTACCACGAGCTGCAAGGCTGTTATTGTTCGGTCAGAATCACTGCGAAATCGACCTCAAGGGATCGTTTTATGAACTTGTTCGACGCCTGGGACTACGATTTGCGCCCGACTTTGTACCCCTCCCAACCATCGATGAGTTCCGCGCGCAGCTAGCTCGAGACCCATATATTCAAAAAGTTGAAGCAGTCTGCCCTGATACCATCAAGCAACTCCCATTAAGAATTATCAATAGCTCCCTTGCTACTACATACCGATATCTAAGCTCTCTGGTTGATGACTCCCCCAGTGCGAGTGTCAGCGCAATCCTCTACCAACTCGAGTCTTTGAGTACAACCCTGACTACTCAGTTGCTGCCGCGTTTCCGCCCAGAATCCCTGGTCAACCATAATGACAGCGCTTTTCGATTGCTAGAACATTTTGAAGCCACAATAGTCGAGGACACCATTCGTGCCCTTATTGCTCGCCACCCAACACAATCCTTGGTGTGGCTGCATGATGGTTTCTTAGTTGCCCCCCCACCTCCTGAACAAATGGTAAGGCAGATCGAGAAGGAAGTTCTGTCCAATCATCAGCTTTACTTTGGTCAAACATGGTTTAAAGTCACCTCCCTTAGCACGGCACGCAATGCATACGTGGACACCCTCAAGCATACCGCCAGTAGCCATACCCTATCCCTCACCCGTCGTGCACCCCACAGCTCCCAACGAAAGCAGCGCAGTGCCCAAGGATCGCCGCACGTCCATGCCACGCCCTTGGAGGCCCTTTCCAAACTGCGTGCTCGACGCGAACGCCCGACGGGAGGGAGGTAAAGCCAAGACCAACCCCAAGACCAACGGCCTGCCACTGCCCAGGCAGCTTTAGGCTGCCGCAACGTAGTTATTGCTGATTGAGATCTCCTGTGACATCCGAGTAGCCCTCATCAGCTCACTACCTTATTTGTACCCACCCCTGTCAATTTAGTTCTCATACCTCATGAACACTGGTCAGTCCAGTGGGGGGGGCTCCCAGGGGTACCCTGGGTAGCTCTCCCCACCTGTGCAAGACCCATGAGGATATCATAATCCTAAACCACTAGCCTCAAGTAGTTAAAGACCCATTCCATCATTCAGCAAACTAGCCCAAAGTGTTACATGCGCACCAGCTTTCACCTGGGGGACTTTCTAATATAGGCGACTTGTTGCGACCCACTAACGATAGGGCACTTCAAAGGGATTAAGTGGTCCTACAGAGAGGACACAGGTCCAGCCGCTCGCGGAAACTCAGCTTAGCCTAAATACCAATCGGCAACGCTTTTAGAGTGCCAGGCTGTGGTAACTGCTCAACACGACCATGTCCACCGCACAGTTGGCCAGAAGTCCATCCCGCAGCATAGCTCCACTAGGGTTTGACCTCCTGTTTGCTTTTTTCTGGGCGTCCAGAGTGAATCAGCTTTCCACCCTGGGGAAATGGTGGAAAGTGGGAAAAACCCCCCCCCCCAAAAAAAAAACAACTACGATACTCTCTGTACTCCAGCTCCTTAGCAATCACAGGCATTGTGAAGCATCGTTTGCATTTTGCCCTAAGAGGATGGACGAGCGGATAGAGACCATCACTATGCAGCTGCCATGCGACTATTTCTATTCCCAAGGGTACCTTGGGTAATGGAAACAGTTTCGAAGTGACCTCCATCGAGCGACTAAGGCTCATTAGGACTGATATAAACCACGTAAGAAGCAGTAGTCCCCTGTTGCTGTCTTTGAATCCCGTTTTCTGTCGGGCCGTAGGTATGTCCTGTACCATGCCACACCCCATGATCCTCCGATCTACATGCGCATTGTACCTCACGACACAATTACAAGCTTCTAGGTTAGTTTTTGGAACCATTTGCTTCGGGTCGTCCTACTCGAGTACTGTGCCAATGGCTAGGTGAAGCAGTTGACGCTGAGCGGCCCTCGACATTACTTGCCACCTACATTGTTTCCTCTTCGAATGAAGCGTCTCGTAGAAAAAACGCGTCGATAACACTTCCCTGTGCACGTACAGATGCCAACATATGCTGGGTAGTTACGGATGATTCACCTGTCCCAGGAAAAGATATATCTTCTCCGCTCCAACCATATTAGCTACCATCAATGCACTACCCAAGCGCTCAACCCCTCATCTCCCACATTATGGCTCACCCTGCGACTGGATGTTGTAAACTGGCCCTGTTCCCAGAAATAACTTTGGCCAACTGTCATTAGTCCAGTTTACCACATCAAAGAGGGCCTGGTTTCCGATAGTTATAGCCCTGTTGGCAGCATCCCTAGGCTGAACAACGCTTATGCTTATAGGGTCATTCCCCCATCATATCATCTTGCCAACTAGCGCACTATCTTACCTTACGTCGTAGTACTATCATCCACATGGCTATAAGAAATTCTGTCGAACTATCCAATGCATGAAGGTTGCTCCCGAGTGTAGGACATCACCTCCCGCATCACATCGCTGAAGTTCCAAGGCCATGCACCACCGACGCAGGACGAAGAAGTACCACGATGACGCCTCCCTCGCGCAGTATAATTGAGCCGGTAGGACTTCAAGTGCCGCTAGATTCCAGTGGACAGTGCTCTCGCCGCCCATTACACCTCATACTCAGAGCTTAATAGAGCCTAGGGTGCTAGCAGTTTAGGACAGCTGCTGTTCCCAAGGGCACCTTGGGTAATGGCGAGTTTCTCGCTCCGACACTAAAATGCTGTACACTGTTCCAAACCGATGCTATCTTGGTTTTCTGTACTTAAGGCGCGCATAAATAGCTTAT